TTGATTACATCTGTGTTATTTTTACATGAATATCTCTTGTATTTTTGGTACTTCACGAGAAAAATAAAGTAAATTCGATGGCATGTTGTTATTGTTATGAGACATTACATTATTTGAATAATAGTTTGCACTTAGATGCTGTAAGCTAATATCAAATTGTGGTTGGAATAGAAGCCCAAACACTCTTGGATGAGTTTGGCAGATATATAGGCCATATTGTATAATAAGTCATAATTTTTTTATTTTTTGGCTGTGGTAGATATTGCTTGGGTATTCTGATTAATCTAAAGTTATAAAGAGGAATCCTATGAAGCGGAAAATTTTCATGTCCCTGTTTCAGGTTTACCTTGATACAGTTGGAGATGCCGACAAGTATAGGATCAAACTATCTGAAAGATTTCCCTCCATTAAATTTGTTGTTGCAAAGAAAGCTGATAGTCTGTATCCGGTAGTGAGTGGGGCAAGTATAGTTGCCAAGGTAATCAGCTCTTCGTTCCAAATCCTGACATTTGGTTCATTCTAAACTGCTTTTCTTTTTAGTTAATTTTAATTTTGTTTAACCATACAGGTAACGAGAGACAAAGCCTTGCGAGAATGGGTGCTGGAGGAAACATCTGAAAACATGCATAGGAGTTTTGGTTCTGGGTATCCAGGAGGTTGGAAGTGCTTGACATTATCTTATTTCATATATATATACCCTATTAGCAAAGGTAATTAAACAAGGAATCTGGTTATCTTTGATTTGTCTAGATCCTGAAACAAAAGCTTGGCTGGCACATCACAAACATTCAGTCTTTGGGTTCCCAGCGCTAGTCCGCTTCAGTTGGAGTACATGCACTTCATATTACAAAGATATGGTCGAAGTGTTATGGTATTTACTCACACACTCAAATTTAATTTTTAACACTTTCCAATAATTGTGCTTGGTCTTGTGTTCACAATGTTATAAAGTCTGTAAGTGTTTTGGTGTTTTAATTAAGAAAATTCAATGACTTGTCGGTAATTAGAAAAGAAAAATAAACAACAATTTCCTGGTTGGTACAAAAGTACAGACATTGTTGCCTTGACATGCCTCTAGAATTATTTTATGTTTATGGATAGGTCTAGAAATGAGCTGAGCTTAATGGTGGAATGCTTAGAATTGATGGTCGATATTTATTTGAGTTTTGAAAAGGCTGTTTGACATCAACTTCTAATCTAAATGAAGTTGCATGTCGCATTAAGCTTCAGCTCTTGTAAAAGTATATCAATAACCAGAGGTGCGGAAATGGATTTGGAAATAAGTAATAAATATATTAAATTTTTAATAAGAATATGTATTCTCCTCAATGGTATATGGTATTTAATATAAAATTGAGAAGTTAAAAGTTCATACATTATTTATGATGCATGTCTAATTTCTACTATCCTTTATTAACAAAAATAATTTATATCTGTATCTATTGTTTACATAATAGAAACATAAAACAAATGTTGTTTTGCATTATGTTGTGTGTGATAGGGAATCTGATAAAGTGGATGAAGATTTTGCTAATGGCAGCAGCGGGAAGCAGTTGAAATTAAGTAACGTTGGATTCAGCAAGGTGTCAAAAAGAAAAAGTGAAGAAATAGAATCGAGTGGCAAAGGGAGATGCAAGTTCTTCCAGTCTCGTAAGCTCGAGCAGGTCACTCATTTATAGGAATGCACTTTAGTTTCATGACTTGTTTCTTGGATGAATGCCTTTGATTTAATCTGTGGCTTTAATCTTTCTTAATGTGGTTCCGCGGCCGTGCATCTTGTTCTTGATTATGTAGAATGTATTCCTAATTAAGATAGTAGAACATTTAACTTTGCCATTCAGTTTTGCTTCTTTTGTTTTGTCCCTCCCTTAGGCTATGCTTTGTTTTCTTGAGATTGATAAATACAAAATGATAGAAAGATGGATAATTAGAAAGAAAAAAGTTAAAAGATTATTATTATTATTATGTGTGCTGAATATAATATATGAGAAAGGTGAAAATAGAATATAATTGTTCTATTCAGTAAAATTTAAAAAATGAAAGAAAAATAATATTTTATTCAATCTTTAGTAAGTTAAAAAGGAAAGAAAAACATGATTTTGCAAATATAAAATAATTGGTCATACTTTTTATTTTATTATTTAGAATAATTTGTTTTTATGTATACAACATAATGCTATTTTGTCAAATTGAAAAAAACCCAATAATGATATAATTGTCAGAAATGACTGGATCACACATTTTAATGGCTGAATCAATAAGAAAATTAGAGAAGAGTGACCCCAAACAAAACTTTATTTTTTTAATTAAATAAGAAATCTCTAATCATTTTATTCGAACATTAAATAATATTTATATAAACGTTAATGCATTAATCGTTAATGAGCTTAAAAACATTCGTCTACTGATTTTATAATTTCGTACAAAGTTTAGTTCATTTCAATCATGTTACGCGTGTGTCTGATATTGCATATTCTAGTTAACTTCGCTTAATGCAAAACTTGAAATTATAACCTTCTGTTGTGTCAAACAAAGAGTTGAAGGATAAATGGGATAATTAGACAACAGAGATCAATTGTCTTCGGTCATTTCATTCCCTATGATCCCATTCTCAAGCTAATTAAAAAACAAGACCGGTAGGTTCCTATGCAATAATATGATATGAAGCCATATTTCTCGGGCATCGCCAAAGCTTGAAAGCTCTTTTTTTTAGTCAAGCTTCATTCGCTCTTCTCTGGTTATTTACCTCTGATCTTAACTTAACATTAAGCGTCCAATTAAACCTTCCTTTCGGGAGCGGTATGGAATTTGGCATCCGTAATTGCACATCAAACACTCCAAATGTCTCCAAAGGTGTTGGAAGGTGCAGGTTTTCAGGTTCGATTTTAATGCAAATTAAGCTGCCTTGCGTTCTGAAACAGTATGGAAGAGATTATTCGACAATGGTGTACATACTTGGAAATAACAAAAACATAATGTTCCAAACGTTTATGATTAGGCTCATTAACGAAATTCCATATCTCCATGAAGATATCATAAGCTTTGTTTTTCCCTTAGCAAAGAAATAAGCTGACATATCGTAGAGACGTGAGATGAGAGAAACTATTACTATCTATAAATAAAATGGTCATACCTCAGCAACAAGTTCATCTTTTGTCACAGGTGAGCTCAATTCAGTTGGGTCATCTTTAGTAGAACGGGCACGGAACTTTTGAACATTGATAGATCTCCTCGATACCTATAAAATGCACCGAATTCAATACCTCAAAACAGTAACCTAATTTGATGAACTTTATAACTGAATTTTTTTATCGCTCTTATTTTAATAATTATATCTTAAAAAAATTCAATTTAATAACTAAATTTTATACATTAATTTTTTTAATTACTCACTTATTTTCTCTACACTTGATTACATGATTTATTTTAATATTAAAATCAATCTTTTTTTTTTCCTAAGATTTTTATCTTCGCGTTGATATGTCAACTCTTTCTCCCTCTCGTTTTATCTTGCTTAAAGAAATGAGCTGCATGTATAATACCTCGCTCTCGACCTCAGAGGCTTCTTGTTTTTCTTTCTCGACCTCATCTATTTTAAGAGGAGCTAGTTCATGTACCTCTTGGAATTGAGTTTTGTGTTAGAAATAAATGGTTAATGATTAGTTTGTTTTCAAGTTGTGGAAGACGAAAGACTTAAGCCAGGAATCAGCCCTTTTTTCTTTCTCCTTAGACTTGTTTCGAATTTCTCATCACGTCTCGGTACACAATTGAATCTGATCCTGATACTTTTACAGAACTTATACTATAGGTGTAAGTTATTGTATTCATTGGATCTCGATTCTCTAAGCAATCTAAGACGTGTATGCGTTGATTTTCCTTTTCAAACGGTGCCCAGGAGAGAAGATGAATGCCTCGTAATCATGGGCTCAAAGAAATAACTCAGTTTCTTTAAGTTGTATGTTGAATTGTTGATTGACTTGTTTAATATGTCAGATCACGAATTTAATAACAAACAATAATATACTTATTAAAACTTGTATATATCTTTGTTGGTGAAAGAAAAATCACAACCAAGTTCTATGAAACTTCATAAGCACGTGTAGAGTTAGGGTTGAGCCAATATCTTGCTAAAGGCTTGGCCATGGGTCCATGGGTGACAATGACATTATTTATGCTATTTGGGTCTAAAGGTATGGCCATTGGTGGCAATAACATTGTTTATGTTATTTGGGTTTTCATTACTTTCCATGGCAGTAGAAATGTAGAATGGTCATGTACAATGGAGGTCAGTGCGAAGTTATTTCCACAGCGGGCACCTATATTATTTGAAGGTGGACAGTAAAAATCATTAGTCAAAATGTTATTTGTTCAACTACAGAACGTATAACTGAGTGATAAAAAGAATTTCAAAGGTTTGCAAGGTCTAAACTCTTTGTAAATGACCATAATGATGAAGCCATTCGTACCATCCATAGTTGTTTTACAAAGCCCGAACCTTTTGTTTCAGAGGAACATAAGATTGATGGGAAAGATACGATGTCTACTATTTCATTAGCTATATACCACTTGATAGAGTACTATACGAACTCGATAAGCTGAAGGAGGGACTCATTAGTCTTGATTAGTGCCCTATTTGCTCAAATGACATGAAATGGTTGAAGTTGGTGGAACTAATAATCCAAAAACGGAGAGATATTTTTAAGTGAAATTAAATTTAGTCTTATGATTATTATTAAAAATGGAAAAAGAGAGTATACTATTAAACTTAAGAGCTCCAAAAGAGGAGAGAACACATCTTGTAGCAGCTAACTACCAAGTCATAACGTCATTACAAAGTTAATGACTTAAGCAATGGTAAAAAAATCAATGCATAAAGTTTAGTTATTAAATTGAATTTTTTTAAAATACAGTGATTAATATAAAAGTAATAGGAAAATTTAGTTATTAAATTTATAGTTTACTCTTTTTATTCCTATCGAATCACTACACTCCCCCGTTCCTTCGGTTTTTTTTTCACCCGAAGAAGTTTTTTTACCACATTGTTTTCAGCTTTTGTCTATCGAAGATTGCATATAGGATGGTTTAGGGTTTCTGATTTCCGCCCAAATCTTCGCTATGGATATAAAAAACTTTTTTCTCATTTTGCTCTTCAGTATCTGGTTTCGTTCCTCTCTGTCTGGTAAGCTTTTCTCTTGCATGTGCGATTTCCGACTCTTAATTTCTTAAATTAATATATGCTTCTTGATTTGGTTGCTTAGAAAATGGAAAAACGGTCAAATTCACTGAACACTGTTTTCTTTTTGTGACACTAATTTTTAATGATTTTTTGTTGTTGTTGCAATAACTACTTTTATTTTCGTTTATTTCAGTTTTTGATTTTTAGTGTTCTTTAATATAGTAGTTTTGACGTTTCGAATTGAATTTAGCATTTCTCTTTAATTTGGAAATTTTAGGACAAACGAACTCAATGGAATCAGTTCCTGATCTTCAGAAGTCAATGTACATGGCTGTTGATGGATACCCTTGTGTTCGGCTAGTCAATCTTTCCGGAGAGATTGGTTGCTCAAGTAAGAACTTACCCCACCTAACTGCACCGGAGGATTAAGAAATTATTTTACCTAGATGTTTCCTGAGAGTAGTAGTTCCAATTGCTATTTGTCAAATGATGCTTTTCCTGCTACTGTTGTGTTTTTCAGATCCCGGTCGAGACAAGGTTGTTTCTCCAATTATAAAATACAAGAACAATAAAGGGTTGGCTCAGCCATCTGCAATTTTGTTGTCAATGGATGACGTGCAAGGCTTCTTTAGTAGGTACGTTCTGCCTATCAGTTTACTTTTGAGGCCCTCTCCTTGGGAGTGTCTCGCTCATATCCATGTAAATATCTTTTCTTGTTTCTGGTCTCTGTACTATTCTTTTCTAGTTGAGGGAAAATATATATTGCTTATAATTTATAGATTTGTTTCCCTCATTAACCGGACCAAAAGGTTCATTTCTATTTCTCCCCTCTCTTTAGGTGTATATGTGTGCGTTTTAATTTCTTATATATCTTCTTTCGGGTCATTTATGTTATACATGCTTTGAGTTATGATATCAAACCTGCTATAGAACAGTCTCATGTAATACACAAAAAGATAAGCATATAATATATTGAACCAATGCCTTCTAAATTACATATCTCTTTTTGATTTGTTAAGCAATAAATTGGATAGACTCTTGTGAAGGCCCTAACTGTTATACTTAAAAATTGTGTCTAATTTTGGTTTCTTAAGAGCATGCAATAACTTTGGGTAAATAGAGCTTAAAAGTTAAAATATGATCATTTTGTCTACAACTAGTATCTTTTGACTAAGATGTGTGCAACCCAAGGAAAAATGCTGCTAACAAGATGAGAAACATATGTTCAGAAAACAAGGCTAAAGCTAACATTGACATAGAGCTGCTCGGCAGTTTGAAAGTTTTCTGATCTAAAAATAAATAAAGAAAGAAAATGGAAAAGAAAAGCAGTCCTTAGTCACTAAGCAATAGTGCTGAAATTCCTAAAAGAAATAGAATTCTTATTCTTTATGACATCAACAAATACTTAAGACATTAAATAGAAAATTAATAAAATTACCCACAGTGAGATTCTAGAGTCAAAATCAGAAATTTCCAGCAAACCAGAAAATTAAGAAAATAAGTTTTCGCATAACATCCAGAAAACAGAAAATGAAATGAGAACCAATGACTTCAATATAAAGAAACGTAAATCTAAAGTTCGAAGCAACTAATAAAGTCTACCCGAGCACCGGTCCTAGCTAGGCTTTTCATGATGGTTTTATGTGTTAGGTGTGGGCATTCCAACTAGCCTTAGCTTGCCTCATGAACACCTTTGGAGGCCGCTGACAGTACATTACATAAAAATAGAGGCTTTTTTGGGTTTTAAATGAGAGAGGAATGCTATATAGTATATTGAGGATTGGGCTTGTTTTGGTGCTTGTGGAATTAATTTTCTTGTAGTTTTAGAATGCTATTTAAGATCAGTATTCTGTTGTGTTAATTGAGAGCAAAAAAGAAAAAAAAAGGAAAAGAAGATAATAATGAACTGTTTCTCTGTTTTGGAATAGTCTATGGAAAAGGAAGGCTAGTGTAGTATCTTTTTTTTACATTTGGGTTTATATCAAAGCTATGAGAATTAGGGATGTTCAGAATCATATTCAAAGGTCAAATTCATTTAAGAATGGATGAACGAGCCTGTTTCTCACTCCGAGTCTATTAGTACAAGAGTGTCGGTTCTGGGGCCAAAGTAATCATATGATCTTGATCATTGGTAAATATTCATGGATTAGATGTTTCCTAGTTGAAAATCTTCTGATGATTTCTAGTAGAGAGCTACGAGCTCCGCATTACAATTTACATCTAAAGAGCTTTAGCTTTCAATAACTTACAAAGATTGCAAACTCTGGAATGAATGTTATGGCTTACTGATGATTTTGTTTGTTGAAGTGATAGTTCTCTATAATAACCTTATTATCAAATACCTCTTTCTATTTCAGAGTATCAAATGATTCAAGCTTTGCGAGGAATGTTGGTGGTGTTTTAGTAGAATCAGGGGTTGCAATCCAACATAAGCAAAAGGGTGATCCAGTTTCTTACTTATTGCTTTTAGTCTTCTCTTTATGGAGCTAGGGTGGGTCAAGCAAATATGCTTATTTTTCTAACAATTGAATCTTTTTTCTTCAGGATTCTCTCCTGCGCAGAAGTTTCCACAAGCTGCTTTTGCACCTTATCTTAACACAACTTATGAGTGGAATCCAATTGTATGCCATTTGCCTATAGGAGGATAAAAATATTTTGAATTTTATTTTTTTAGCTGGTTCTTATTGTAGAATCTCAGTTTTTTCTCATTAATAACTGTTATGATGGTCTTCATGCTTTTTTACAGGGATCCGGAATCATGTGGAAGTCATATAATTTTCCCGTGTTTTTACTTTCTGAAAGTAGCACGTCTGCCTTGCAAGAAGTAAGTCATGTAGCTTCCAGTTTCCTATATACTCAGTATGATGTTATTTTTTGATAGAAGATTAGGCCTCATTAAAAACCCCTTCATACCCTTCATGTTATATCAGTAACATGAAGGACAATGGAAGGAGGAAAAGAGTGCCTAAGATTTTATTAAGCTGAACAATAGTACATTGCCAGACCCTAACATACTGCTAAAACACCAACAGAAATAACATATGACTGAAAACAAAACTCCTTACAACAAACATTTCCTGCACCTCAACACAACCAACAAAAACCAAGTAATCAACCTATCCCATCTTTAGCAAATTTGTCAGCTTCCCAGTTTGCAGCCCTCAAAATATGCCTAATAGTAATATCCTTTCCTGCCATAAGAGAGACTATATCCTTCACCAAGGATTGAAACATAGGGGTGCATAAACCCGGATTCTTGATCCACTTCAGAGCATTACTTGAGTCCGATTCAAGAATAAACCTCTTATTAAGAACAGAACCTAAGTCTTCCAGAAGACATAGCCCCCTCTTAATCGCCGATAATTCTGCCATGATAGGAGGACCAGCCCCAACTCTTTCTGAGAACCATTGAAGCAACACACCACTGCTGTCCCGAATCAGACCACCAATACCACCTTTATCCCAGCCTTTTACCAGCGCTCCATCAACATTTAGCTTTAAGAACCCATCCGGAGGAGGAACCCAGCAAGTTGGTTGAGAGCGACCCTTTCCCTGTTTTCCCACCGAATCAGCAAGTTTTAAATCACCCACTAGGGAGTCTAAAGGGATATGCACATCGTTGAACCTTGCAACAAACCAGGAAGCTATTGATCTAACCTACTGATTTGTTAGACAACATTTAGTCTAACCTATTGATCCTATCTCTTGCCTGCAAGAGTCTTAGAGTTTTTGTAAGCTTGAGACAATGGTTATAGTTAATTATATTCTCGATTTATTTAGTCTAATTTGCAGTTGTTTGATGAGAATAGATTAAGAGATCATCCAAACACCAGGAAATGGTTTTTGGAAACTGTTTTCCAGAAAATGTAATTCATTTCAGGAAAACATTTTACGGAATCTGTTTCCAATTAAACAACGAACCTTTAAGAAATAGAACTACCCTTTTGCCCCTAGATTGTTGCTTAAATTGTGTCAAAATTAATTGTGTGCAAGATGTATTTAGCACAATTTTAAAATCAGAACGAAAATGTGTTGGAACTATAATTTTTTAGGCACAGAAGCATAATGACGGGTGGTTCACTTGTTCCACTAGATTAGTCCTTTTCTGATGCAAATATCCTTATGGTTTCCCTTACTATGCAGATTGCTATGAAGAACGAGAAAGCAGAGAAAGCTTATACTAAAAATGTGGCAGAATTTGATGTGGTGATGCAGGTATTATTTTTCTACTGATTTAACTGTGGTCTTGCAAGATTTTGTCGATGATGTAATTTCTCGTACCATTTATGACTTACATTATAGTTTTAATGCATTTGCCTTGCATTAGACAACTAAGGTTGGGACCCATGACTCAGAATCTTGTTTGACAGAAGAGACCTGCCTTCCATTAGGTGGATACAGGTGAAGTTTCTTTTCTTGTGGAGTTACTACTTCATTGTGCAATCTGTTAGCTCAGTTTTGATTGATTTGGGTTCAAAATAGATACAAACTTTTGTCTGGTATATATATCCAAAGGATGGAATTTGTCAATTGCTTACTTCTTTGTAACTGTCCTTTCCGAATAATGAAGTTTGCAAAGAAACGGATTCCAAAAAACAAGGAAAAGGAAAAATGAGATTAATTGCTTCAGGAATAACATGGGGATATAGTTTTCAGCACCATTCAATTAGCTAGTTTCCTAATTAACAATTGCCTACCAAGCAAAAAAAAAATCCCTCTATTTTTTTTTGTTTTATCTGTATTTTCAATTTGGCAGGTAGAAGAATCGGATTCCAAAATGGAGCAATATTTATTCTTATGGTGACATAACATTTTTACTTTTAGGTCGCATGATTAGAGGGGTGAGCCTTATACTGGATTGGATTTCTAATGATTCAATTTGTGAATTCCAATACATAGAGTAATATCTGGGAAAACATTTACAGTGTTAGTTTTGACATTATAACCCTTTCATTTAGCCAAAATTCAACTACCCTTTGTCATGTAATGGGCCATAACCAGAAAAGATTATCCTGCTAGGTGAGGAAAGCATCTCACTTTATTAGTTCCTTGATTTTCCTTCCTATCCAGTACGAAATTGGTTTGATAATTCTCTCCCACTTGAACATGTGACAACACTGTTAGTAGTTGGACCATCCTGCCTCGAATTAGGATATAGAGAAGCAAAATAATAGATGTGGAAGGAAGTTTAGGACACCTACAGACATGCCAATCGTCCTGTTATAAGAAATGACCTATGTGAGAGAAAGTTCTTATTAGGTCTGTTGGAATAAGGTGAGTAAAGAAACAGGTAAGTAGAGTTGAGTCACAAGATATATTCCGAACATGTTCTTTGGCTACTGTTAAGGTGCCACGGTATTATTAGACAGACATGATATCCATGATACAAAAGTAAAACTCGTTTGTTGCCAATAGTTGTAAACAAGCAGAGTCGAGCTCGACTCTAAAACTCTAAAATGGAGCTCGACTCGGCTCGAAAACTTGCGAGCCTAAAATTTTCAAGTTTGAATCAAATTCAAAACCATGAATTGAAGCTCATTATTGGGAATTTTATTGGGAATGAGTCAATCTGGTGCCACATTGTGATGGGATGCACTCAACCCAATAGACACTCCCATCAAGTGAGGGTACCATCCTGCTTAAGCTTCACAATATTTTTCACCTCTTAATGTAATTGTATGCTTCATTCACCCTTCTATGCATGACACCTTACATGGCACCCTTCTCTGCATTTAACCATTTCTTAAGAGTGTATGGTTGAACTGTGGTTAGCTCATTGGTTATGAGTTTTGGTGAAATTTAGAGCACTTATCCATGTTGTAGTAGTATTTTTACGACTTATGTTCTTAATGGGATGCTGAGGGTAATGTTCAGAAATCACATCCTTTTTCCGGAATACTATTACAAAAGATGTGATTAATTACCCCTCTAAAACGAAATTTAAATTATAAAAGGAAATGGTATATCATTTTATCTCATGACCTAAAACTTTTATGTTGCTATATGATGTTATTGAGGTTCAAGGATTATCTGTTTTCTGAAAATTGACATCGATGTCTAATTTTATTCATCTTAATAATGAAGGGCAGTGTTTGGTCAGCAGTCCCGCCAATTAACAACTCATCCTCAAAGCAGTCCAAGCCCATTATCCTAACAGTGGCTTCTATGGATGCTGCATCATTTTTTCGGGACAAAAGCCTTGGTGCAGATTCTCCTATATCTGTAAGCTCATATCTTTTATGGTGAGGTTACTTAATTTACATGTGTTTTCTGCCAAGTAAATCCAAACCTTTGTTCACAATACTTTTCAGGGAGTCATATCATTGCTGGCAGCAGTTGATGCCCTTTCTCATGTAGATGGTTTAGACGACCTTAAGAAACAGGTTTTCTATGTCATTCTTCCTAGCAACATTTCTGGGAATGTCAATCTCCAAGATAACTGTTTCATTTGTTAATGTTTCTGTAAATTTAGTGCAGCTTGTCTTTCTTGTTTTCACTGGCGAGGCCTGGGGTTACCTTGGTAGCAGGAGATTTTTACTTGAACTTGATAAGCAGTCAGATGCTGTTCATGGTCTCGATAGCTCACTGATTCAGTTGGTATTCTTCTGCTTTGGTTGAACTTGTTTTGCACCATGTAATTGGAGGGGGTTTCTTTGGCTAGCATGACTACTGTTGCTCATTTTTGCATTTTCTCTGTTACATAGTTGCCCTGTGATTCATGTCAAGTTTTCCCATTCATAAATGTAATTTGTTTCTTTGGTTTCTTGGAAAAGGTCATGGAAATTGGGTCAACTGGAAAGGGCTTAAGTCAAGGGAACAAAACCTTTTTTGCTCACACGAAGGTAGCAATGGCTGTTTATTTTATGAATATTGAAAATGTATCTGCAGTGTACACCGAAAAAATACTTTAAACATTCTACACATGGTTGTTTGTGTTCTTTTATATTTAAACTTTCTATGCAGGTTTTTATTGTTTGCAATACAACATTTTTCCATAAGTTAAAAGGTGGAAATGATTGAGGGAATTCTTGATTTGACTAATTATTGCAGTGGTGTGTTAAGGCATTAATGCTATTTGCTTTTATATATGGCTGCTGCATTCATCTGATGGTGATGAGGGATGATTTACAATAGGGGTAGCAATGAAAACATTTTGCTCTGTTTGGGTCCCTTTTAATGTCCCTGTTGAAGTTGGCAATGTTTAAAATGTAATTGCAGCTAGCCACCCTGATTTGGGTTCAAATTGTTCATTCAGAATATCACAAACTTTTAAAATAAGTTTGGAAATAAGCAGAACCAAAGTGGACATTAAGAATTGTTTAGAAATGTCTGGATCTTGTTGATGGGCAAGTAGATCAAACTTGAGCCTTTGTTCAAAGTCAAAGTCATTCACCTTTTTTTTTAAACCAATCTCCCCTCATCCTAAGAACCAAAAAAATTCCCCTCATCCTAGTTTGTGCTTCTTTATAATAGCTCTATGAAATAATTACAAGAAATTACACAAATTTGTGATATCCAGTTTCTCTTGATTGAGATAGTTTATAATATGTTATGCTAGCATGCTTAGGAAGTTGATGATATTCGTACTATGTTTTCATGTAAATTTATGGTACTCAAATTAATTATTAGTATTTATCACCCTTTGATAACTAATTGTCACTATTGTTTAAGTCTCTCTGGTTATTAATGTAGGTTTCATCTGGTGCAAATGAAGCTTTGGATGCCTTGAAACTAGCTCAAGAGTCCCTTAAATCTGAAGGTGTTACAGTTTCAAATGCCAGCTCATCAAATCCTGGAATTCCTCCGTCATCCTTGATGGCATTTCTGAGAAAGGTTTTGGGGAGTAAACTTTAACTCTTACATTTGTGTTGACATAGTTATTTTTCATTTTTTTTTTGTTCACTACATACTGCCTTTTCCAACTAGAGCTCCAAGTCATTTTAATTCGAAGAAACCTTTATGACAATTTAGTTTAATCTCAGTCTGTATGACAATTCGAAGAAACCATTTCTTCCCCTTTTTTTCTCTGATTTTTCTTGTTCAAAGCATCTTGCCTTTTAGGCCTTCCCTCTTAAAGAGAAGCCCATGCCCTTTTCAGATATTTTCTTGTTGAAAATACCTTTCCTTTCAGAGAATGATAACTGGATTAGGAGTTAGATGGCAATGATTTCAATGGTCAATATATCAGTAGTGAAGTTGCAAACTTATCAACCTTTTCTTTTGAGTAGAAAGTAATCAAGTTGTAACCAATGCATCTTTTTTTGTTGTTGAAAATACAGACCTTATAATTTTTATATAGAAATTTCAGATTTAACTCACTGTAGCTTTATTATTTAATCCTTTAATCGGTAAGAAATATTTTTGGTTCTGTTCGAGTATTGTCCTGAAAGTCTAAGCACAAACTAGTCTCTCCATTCTTGTTGCCTAATGTGTGCTTTTCATATTAATTATCTTTAATTAGCTCTTCACTATGCACTGCCAAGTTTTTATGCATTACATATACAAACTCTTTAAAGTAAAACCGTATCTTATAATCTGCTTTTTGATCTCCTAGTAGAACTCTTCTACTTCTGGGATTGTGTTAGAGGATTTTGATACTGTTTTTGCCAACAAGTTCTTCCATAGTCATCTTGATGATTCAGGTGAGCTGATCTGCATTCTTTTTTGTTTTTCTCTGCTGTATTCCTTTGTCTTTGCGTTACTCAAACTTGCAGCTACTATGGGCATCATCTATTTTGCAGCAAATATAAACTCTTCATCGATAGTTGCAGCTGCATCTCTTGTTGCCCGGACCCTCTATCTTCTTGCAAGTGATAAAAAGGATTTAACAAATTCGGCTCTAAGTGCAATCAATGTGAATGCCTCTCTAGTTGAAGAACTAATTAGTTGCATGTTGAAATGTAATCCTGGTCTGTCATGCGAGTTGGTTAGCAGCTATATTAAGAGCACCAATACATGCCCAAACCATTATGTTGGTGTTGTTCTTGGAGAACCTTCCTCAACACCTTACCCCGATCAGGTGGATGACGTTTCAAGGTTTGTGTGGAACTTTCTGGCCGATAGAACATCAACTCCAAAGGGCAATACTTCTGTTTGCTCAGAGGATTGTGCAAAAAATGGCGGACTGTGCATTAGAGCAGAACTCGATGGAAAAGGTGTTTGTGTTGTCTCCACAACCAGGTAACTTTGCAGGTTGAAGTTTCTAAAAGCATGTTATTTAAGTAAAACCCTGAATAGATTTGTATTAGGTGAGCATTACGAGCAGTGGATATTACTGCTCATTTCTCGTGTCTTACCTTTTCATGCTCTGTATTTCAGCATGTTTTGTCTTGATGCTAGAGGATGTTTTGTCTGGTTGATACAAAAGCTCTGCACTAACTATATAACTCTTATATTTTCAGTACATTGTCAGTACCGCGTTGAAGCAGTTGTATCATTAAATGTGATTATGTGAGATTTAGCTGTATCACTTACAAAATCACCGAGTAGCATCTCTAATTATGGTTAGACAGTGTGATCATTATATTTCTTGAATCATAAGCGAATGCAATTCCTCATTATAGGTACGTCCCGGCATATTCAACTCGCTTGAAGTTTGACTCTGGAACTTGGAAAGTGCTGCCACCGAACTCCTCCGATCCCATGGGGATGCTGGACCCTGTTTGGACAGAGAGCAATTGGAATACGATCGGTCTCCGGGTCTACACCATACAGGAAGCTGCATATGATCGACTGGTTCTGCTTGGAGGTATAACTGTCACGGTATTTGCTTATTTAGCAATAGTACTTACAAGAGCCTACATAACAAAGGCCTTGAAGCAAGATTGACAAACGAAATTAAAATTAAAGTCCTACAAATTTTTTAGAAAACATCCTCAGATTATTGGCACCAAATGTTAAGTATGATAATTGATGATGGTATTGCTTAATTTAGTTGTCTGTTTAAAATTTTTTAATCTATTTCATAAAAATTGCATAAATTCTGAGTTATCTGTGGGCTGTTCTTTAGGGGATGAAAGCTTGAATTTATAATACTAACGCTTTATAAGAGATCGTTTAGGTTATGAAATTTAAATTTGGATTTTAAAATTTATGTTCTTTCTAATTTATAGATTTAGAATTATTTGCTGTTTGGGAAATAAACAAAAAAATAGGATTTGAATGAAAGATTTGCATTTTTATTCAATATGTAATGTATTAAAACCCACATTAAAACACAAATTATTTTTGAAAATAATTATTAATAGATAAAAAGTTAATTGTACAAATCATTCCTAAATTACAGTTTAAAAGCGTTCTAATTGAATTATTAAAATATTAGTATTGTATTAATCATTTTTTCAGTAATTTATCTGTTTATAAATTAATTCATGCCTTTTAAATATAACTGGAATTGTAGCTATGTTGACATTTTCTTTAACAATTCTTACCGACATTTATTAATGTGATACATATGCATTAAGTATATTAATGTGAATGATTTAAGTAGAAACATTTAAATTTTAAAGATTAATATAGAATTTAAATCATAGTTTGAGGTTTTAAATGAATTGTTAAAATCAAAATAAAATAGATTATTATTATTATTGTCTATATATTATCTTGAGAACTATGTACAAAAATAATAAAATTCCGAGAACTATGTACAAAAATAATAAAATTCCGAAACTGTGACACGTTAATGAGTTTTGAATAATGTCCATTAGATTTTGATGGCACACGACACAATAGAATCACAATATATAAGTACATAATAAAATAATTAAAAAAATATAACTCAATATTTGCGTAATAAAATAATTAAAATATATATCAATATACATCAATTTAGTCCACGTACTAATAAAAAATTAAATAATGCTATTTTTTAATAGATTTAACATTTATTGTTTAAAAAGTGATATCTTTTCATTTCAGATTCAACTTGAAATAAAAATTTTCATCTTCTAGAACCATAAAATCTACAAAGCTATTAACTCTATCAAATAATAAATAGTAGCTTTGTAAAAAATAATTGATATTATTCGATTCATTTTATTAGTACAGGGACTACCTGATCTATTAAAAAGTAGAGGGATAATGTTGAATCAATCTCTACAACATAGGGATTAATTTGAACTAGTCTCTATAATTGAAGGATTAATTTGCTCCATTAAATAGAAAATGGGGCTAAATTGATATATTCCTTATAATAGAGGGACTTGACAAGGACTTTCACCAGTTGATAAACAAAGGAATCTACATTCAACGAACCCAGTCTTTCCGCCTGTAAAAAAAGAATACAAAGACAGATTCAGTGAATCTCCAGATTTTAATTTAATTAATGGCAGTCCCCATCGTTCTTTTGCTTGTCCCACCCGGGAAACTTACTTCTCCCATCAACTTCCATTCTCGCAAACTTAATCATGAAGCCAAAATTCCCCCATTCAGTCTTGTCATTGTCTTTCGAGGATCGGATTCCATTCCATCGGATATTTCAGAGAATGAGCAAAAGATGAAAAGAAAAACCTTTGGATAACAATGTACGGGAATCAATCTGATAACAGCTACAGATTACAAATCCAAGCGAATGGTTTCGAGCATCAGCTGCAGTGTAAGGAAATGATGGCGACGTCCTTCAATAGAAGCTGGGCTCAGCAGACCGAAGAGAGTTACCAGCTGCAACTGGCGCTGGCTCTGCGGGTTTCTTCGCAGGCTGCTTCTGCTGCTGATTCCAACTTCTTGGATTTCGGTTCTGATGCTAATAGTAACAGAGTTCCTTCTTCTTCTTCTTCATCTCAGCATGTGTCTCATCGATTCTGGGTATCATTTCTTTCTTCTTCTTCCCCCCCCCCCCTTGAATGCTTGGTTAATAATGGGTTTAATGCTTTATGGCTGGTGATTAATTATTGGTTTTTATATCAATAATGTTTCTGCAATTTCAATTGCAGTTTTGTTTAAAATTTTCATGTTTTTAACTTTTTGGGGGGGGGGGGACTGATAGACCAGTTCCTTTCTTTGTGTATGTAAATTAGGAGTTAAATTATTTCTGTGCAGTTTATCTCTAGTTGGTCAAACAATTTGTGTTTATCTTTCAGAATTCTCAATGAAACCATGTTCTTTATAACTGTAATAAAAAATTCAAGTTGTTCCTTCAATAATCACCATTTAACTGGGCATGTCGTTCAAATTCTTTATAATTATAATTTTCTTCTGTGTCTGAATTTCATCTGGGGAAAATAGTTATAGATTATATTTATTGCTGTTTGAAGTATTTTACGTACTCAAGACTGGAAAATTTAATAAAATAGATTATAATTTAATGATTAAATGGTAGATAAAACAATTTATAAGGTACTCTGATTTCCTTTGATTCAGGTAAATGGCAATCTGTCTTACTTTGATAGAATTCCAGATGGATTTTACCTAGTCAATGGGATGGATCCTTATGTATGGACCATAAGTGCTGATCAAGGAGAGATTGGCCAGATGCCCTCCCTTGAGTCATTAAAGGCCATTGATCTACATGATGATTTGTCAATTACAGTTGTTGTGATTGATAGATTGAGGGATCCTAGTTTGAAGGAACTTCAGAACTGGATTCTCAATATTTCTAGCAGCTGGATCAGCACAAAAGAGGCAATAAATCAGCTTGCATGTCTTGTTTGTAACCAGATGGGGTATGTTCTCCACTTTGCATCAGTTTTAAATTTTGATTGTTTTATGTCACATAACTTACTAATAAAATTTTGTTTTCACCATCAGGGGTGCAGCCTCTTCTGAAGAACGTGTTTATAGACAATGGAAGGAGTGCACCGTAGTTCTGAAAAGCTGCCTAGGCTCTATTGTGTTTCCAATTGGAAGAATATCTTCTGGGCTTTGTGTCCATCGTGTGTTACTATTTAAGGTATATCTCTGAATACAATTTAGTTGTCATTTTACGTGTTTGCATGAGTATTAGTACATGTCAGTTAGTTATTGTCCAATTTTATCTTTTGCAGATATTAGCAGACTTGGTTAACCTACCATGTCGAATCACGAAGGGTTGCAAATATTGCCAGAGGGAAGATGCTTCATCCTGTCTTGTGCAATTGAGTCCTGACAGGTAAATTGAGACTATTGTCAGATGAAATTTTCATAGCAATGAATGCTATTAAACTTCTAAGGATTTTGGCCAATGATTTTGAGAATATTGTGGTATTCAGGAAAAACTGTGATTATGTGTTAAACTTGGTAACATTTTATTATGAGGTAAATGTTGTCATGTGGACTGAGTAGAAGATGGAATGAATTTTATCATGCATATTGAAATTCAAAATTCATGGGTGAAAATATTTATGACGCTTATAGTCATTTAAGAAAAAAATATGGGGTTTGTTGATGATACAGATACTGATGTCTATTATTATGGGAAAAGACATTACAAGCTTATATTATGGGAAGATCTCATTGGAATTCAGATGTCTGTTTCTAATACAAAATATAACAATGCCATTTAGCATATGATCAATGATGTTAGTTGTTTCAGCAGTTAGTGAAATAGCTATAAATTTATCTTTGAACAAGATAATTACTTTTAAGTTACTCCCATTAAGTGGTGTTATCCCACATTTTTTTTTAATTTTTTGTGCCTTGCATTCATGTTGAGCAACTAAACCTATTGTAAATTGGAATTGACCCCCACTCTTCTTCAGATTGTTTTCTCCACTAGCAGTTATTGTAACGTGTATAGGTTTTATTTAGGTAGTGATGTGTTAAATCTTTGCAAAATGAAAGCTTCTTGAATGATGATTTTTTAATGTCTTAAATTGATCTTTATAAAGTAGCTAGACATTTTTGTTGGTATATTATTTTTAAGTTTGAACTCTATGAAACCACTCTTCAGAAAATCCAGTCCCCTTCCTCTTGTTCCATGCTTTAACATACAATTTTCCAGGGAATATTTAGTAGATTTGTTTGAGGAGCCGGGAGCCTTAAGCCAACCAGATTCCTCACTCAATGGTACATCATCAATTTTAGTTTCTTCACCACTGTGTCATCCAAGATTTAAACCGGTTGAAACTGCTACAAGCGTCAAGACATTGGCCAAACTCTATTTCATTGATAATCTATCCCATAAACATGTTTGTGACGATGCTTCCTCAGGTAATTCTCTTTGTATTTCATGCATTTACTAAGAAATACATGGAAATAATCAAACAGGTTACACATCCCCTAAATATATACATGCTGAAAAACCTAATTTCTAGGGATATATACAACTTACCTAGAATAGGATCAAATCTTATCTAAAACAGAAAGAAATAAACAGGAAATAAATATATAAGGATATGGTAACAAACTACCAGAATCCCTTAATATATGGAACTGAATATTGATCTGTTTGACTCTAGATTTCCTTAATTTCGGCCCTCTAACATGCAGACAGATATGCATTCAAACTAAACTCCAAATAATTCTACACTCCCCCTCAAGCTGGATGGTAAATGTTAATTAACCCCAGCTTGGAACTTAGATTATCAAAAGTCTTTCTTGGTAGAGCCTTAGTAAGAATGTCGGCTGTTTGAAGACATGTGGGTACATATAGCATTTTGATCATCCCTTCCTCTATCTTCTCCTTTATGAAGTGTCGATCAATCTCCACATGCTTAGTTCTGTCATGATGGACTGGATTCTTGGCAATGCTGATTGCTGATTGGTTATCACAGAACATCTTCATAGGTTCTCCACTAGAAATTCTTAATTCCTCTAGTACCCTTCTTAGCCATATTCCCTCACAAATACCATGGGCCATTGCCCGAAATTCAGCTTCTGCACTGCTCCTTGACACCACTGATTGCTTCTTACTTCTCCATGTGACTAGATTTCCCCACACATAAGTACAATACCCTGAAGTTGATCTTCGGTCTTGTATTGATCCAGCCCAATCTGCATCACTGAACACCTCTATGTCTCTTCTTTGATTCTTCTCAAAAAATAATCCTTTCCCTGGTGTTAGCTTCAGATACCTTAGAATTCTATACACCGCCTCCATATGTTCTTCATTTGGATTGTTCATAAACTGACTTACCATGCTGACTGAAAAACCACTGTCTGGTCGTGTGTGAGAAAGGTAGATAAGTTTACCTACTAGCCTTTGGTATCTGCCTTTATCCACCGGTGCACAATTTTCTTTAGTGCCTAATTTTGTTGTTGAATCCATAGGTGTGTCCGCTGGCTTACATCCAAGCATCCCAGTTTCTTTTAAAAGATCCAGTACGTATTTTCTTTGGGAAACACATATTCCTTTTCTTGACCTTGCAATTTCCATGCCTAGGAAGTATTTGAGCTGTCCAAGGTCCTTGATTTCAAATTCCTTAGCTAGAAGACCTTTGGTAGTGTTGATTTCTTCCTCATAATCTCCTGTTAGGATAATGTCATCCACATATACAATGAGGATAGCCAGTTTTCCTGCAAATGAGTGTTTGACAAACAAGGTGTGATCTGATTGACATTGAGAATAGCCATGATTCTTTATTACCTTGGTAAATTTCTCAAACCAAGCTCTTGGTGATTGCTTGAGCCCGTATAATGATCTTTTAAGTTTGCAAACTTTGTTGTCAGTTTTCGGTGTCTCAAATCCTGGAGGGATTTCCATGTAAACTTCCTCAGCTAAGTCCCCATTTAGAAAAGCATTCTTGACATCTAGTTGGTGAAGGGGCCAATCAAGATTTGCAGCTAGTGATAGGAGAACCCGAACTGTGTTTAACTTGGCTACTGGGGCAAATGTTTCTTCATAGTCGATTCCATATGATTGAGTGAATCCCTTTGCCACTAGTCGTGCCTTGAAACGATTAACACTTCCATCTTCATTGTACTTGATTGAGAATATCCATTTGCATCCTACTGGCCTTTTTCCCGATGGTAATTTTGATATTTCCCAAGTTCCATTCTTTTCCAGTGCATTTATTTCTTCAAGCACATCAGCTTTCCACTCAGGAGATCCAAGAGCTTCTTGTATGTTATTTGGGACCTGAGTGCTGTCGAGGTTGGCAACAAACGACTTGAATTTTGGTGACAGGCCTTCATATAATATAAAGGTGTATATAGGATGTTTTGTGCAAGTTCTAACCCCTTTCCTCACGGTAATAGGATAGTCACTGTCATCACCAGTTAGTTTACTCTATGAGGGCTCAGGATTAGGATTACCTAAAGGATCTTCACAAGATCTTGGACCAGGATCAGATTCTTGGTTTTGCTGCAAAGGTGCTGGATCTTCACAAGATCTTGGACTAGGATCAGATTCTTGGTTTTGCTGCAGAGGTGCTGAAGGTTCCATCTCCTTTTGGTTCTTTCTCCTCCGTGAATAGGTAATCAACTCTTTATTAGTTGTTGATTTACTAATGTCCAGATTTTGGTATGAAGATTCTAGGGAGAGATGTTGTTGAGGAGAAATAGAGTTAGAATTTGGAGAGAGCTGAACTGATTCATCAATATCCCAAATTTGATATTCTTGGGTAAAATTGGTCTCCCCCTGAATATCAGATTTGGGGTAGTAGGGCTGGTGCTCAAAAAATGTAACATCCATGGAGTGGTAGTACTGTTTAGTGACCGGTGAGTAGCACTTATACCCCTTTTGAGTTGGAGAGTACCCAAGGAAGATACACTTAAGTGCTCTAGGATCAAATTTATCCCTTTTATGTTGATGGACATGAACAAAGGCTGAACACCCGAAAACCTTGAAGGGAATAGTGTTGATGAGACGTGTATTTGGGAAAAACTGAAGTAAGGTTTGACAAGGACTTTGAAAGTTGAGAATCCTAGATGGCATCCGGTTTATGAGGTATGCTGCAGTGAGAATAGCTTCACCCCAGAAATGTTTCGGTACATGAGTAGAAAACATAAGAGATCTTGCAACATCTAGAAGGTGCCGATTTTTCCTTTCAGCAATTCCATTTTGCTGAGGGGTGTTGACACATGAGCTTTGATGAATGATGCCATGACTCAAGAGATAATCATTGAGTATGAATTTGAAGTATTCTTTGGCATTGTCAGTTTTCAGAATTTGGATTTTGGCTTGGAATTGAGTTTGTATCATGGTGTTGAAGTTTTTGAAAATCTGACCTGCCTCTGATTTTTCTTTCATGAGAAAGACCCATGTAAGCCGAGTGTGATCATCAATAAATGTAATGAACCAACGGGAACCAGTCACATTTTTTAGTTTAGATGGCCCCCAAACATCACTGTGAATCATTGAAAAAGGATGGGATTCTTTGTAAGATTGGTTGGGATAAGAATTACGGACATGTTTAGAGAATTGACAAATTTCACACTTGAACTCATTTGGATTTTTATTATGAAATAGAGAAGGAAACAGCTTCTCAAGATACAAGAAATTCGGATGGCCTAATCTATAGTGCCATAACATGATTGCACTATCATTATTAGAACAACTGACAGAAAAAGAAGTAGGATTACCAGACACTAGACAATCGGACTGATAAGTTGTGCCTTGAGGAGGATTTGTAACCTCGAGAAGATAGAGTCCCGAGCACATTTTAGCACTGCCAATCGTCTTCCCCGAGTCCAAGACCTGAAATTCACACATGGTTGAACCAAATTTAGTCACACAATTCAGGTCTCGAGTAAGTTTACTAATGGACAGTAAATTGCAATTCAAATTTGGCACAAGAAGGACTGATTCAAGTGTAATATTCTCTGATACTTTAATAGAACCTGTACCAACCACTTTTGAGAGTGAACCATCGGCTATTCTGACTGTTAAGTGTTTATCACATGGACTGTAAGTAGAAAATAGGTCCTCATTTCCAGTCATATGGTCTGAAGCTCCAGAATCTATAATCCATGGATTTGACGTCTCTTTTTTAACACTGAGAGCGCTTAAAAAATTACCTTTTTGGGCTAAGGACCCAGTACCAACCACAGTGGAGGTTTGGGCATGCAAAGACTGGTTGAACAGATTCTGTAGAACCTCTAATTGTTCCTTGCTGAATGGAGTGGGTTCAGGTGAAGGTTTGTCATCCATTGAGGCAAAATTGCCTCGCCCTTCTTTGTCGTTGGCAGACCGAGAAGACTTCCAATCCGCTGGCTTACCATGAATTTTCCAGCAAGTGTCCCTGGTATGACCAGGTCGGCGGCAGTGATCACACCAAGGGCGTCCTTTCTTTGGTTTGGTGTCATTGTTGTTGTAGGAGTTCCCTCTAATAGCAAGGGCTGAGCTCTCAAGACTTGTCATTGGTTCTTGAGAGCCCATCATGATTTTCTTTCGACTCTCCTCTCTCCGGACTTCAGAAAAAGCCTCCCGGATATTAAGTAGAGGTTTGGATCCCAAGATTCTTCCTCTTACTTCATCTAGATTTTTATTTAATCCAATCAGAAACTTATATATTCTCTTCCGTTCAATGATCTGTCTATACCTGATTCCATCATCTAGGCAGCTCCAATTGTGCTCCTCGAACAAGTCCAGCTGTTGCCAATAGCGGTTGAGTGTATTGAAGTACTGGGATACTGTTAAATCTCCTTGACGGAAGTCATGGAGAACACTCTCCACTTCAAACAACTCAGATGTATTCTCATTGTTGGAATACGTTTCCTTTGCAGCCTCCCAGATTTCCCTTGTTGTTCTGTAGAGTAGAAAGTTCTCTCCGATTTCATTTGTCATGGAATTGATGAGCCATGACATGACCATATTATTCTCGGAATTCCAGATTTTGAACTTCTCATCATCCTGGCTTGGCTTGGCAGCCACTCCTTTGAGATAATCATCCTTTCCTCTTCCGCATATGAACATCATAACAGAGTGGGACCATTGGAGATAGTTGTTCCCATTCAGTTTGTGTCCTGTAATGGGCATGGGATTGCTATCTCCACTACTGTTACTGGAGGCCATGGCTACCCGTATTTGGTTATATGAGGGATTTAGGGTTCAGAGAATGCTCTGACACCATGTAGAAATTAGAGGAATACCTTTTTTTTATTTCTTTTTCAATAATCAAACAGGTTACACATCCCCTAAATATATACATGCTGAAACACCTAATTTCTAGGGATATATACAACTTACCTAGAATAGGATCAAATCTTATCTAAAACAGAAAGAAATAAACAGGAAATAAATATATAAGGATATGGTAACAAGCTACCAGAATCCCTTAATATATGGAACTGAATATTGATCTGTTTGACTCTAGATTTCCTTAATTTCGGCCCTCTAACATGCAGACAGATATGCATTCAAACTAAACTCCAAATAATTCTACATATTTCATGCATTTACTAAGAGGCCATGTGATTGATTTTTCTAATTTCCTTGAATTGCAGAAGAGTTTTTTCCATCATATATATATATATATATATATATATATATATATATATGTTTATTATTCCCTATCTCATTTTCACTCTTTGAATCCTTTCATGGCAATTGCTTCTTGCATCAAACATCTTTATGTATTGCTCCCTACCTCATTTTCACTTTTTGAACCCTTTCATTGCAATTGCTTCTTTGACTCCCTTGTAGTTGCTGGTTATTTTAAGTATCCTTTTTTCCTAGGCTGTTTATTTTATAACCTAGTCATAGCAATCTGCCTATTTTTATTTTATCTCATTGTATTAAAATTCCTTTTTATCTATGATTATATTCAACAATGATGAATTTCTCAAGGAAAGCATTTTTTATGGAATGCTAAAAAAGTATAGTTTCAATGCTCAAAATGGTTTCTTAAAATTGCATTTTTTTGGCTTGACAGAGAAAATGATAAAATGAGCTTGCTTGAGAAATTAGCTACTGCTCGGTACCTGATACTTACGAAGTTTCTCATCTTTGATTACAGCAGATAATGCTAGCAACCAAGATGACCAAATTGGCGCACAGCCAAGAAAAGCATTTGATGTAAATTACTTTAACAAGAACGACCTTGTTTCCACCTTAAATGACAACAATGAATCTTCTGTGTCACCTCTGCACCAGAGAACTTCCAGGAATATCAGCTGTGATAGAGATCTTCAGATGCAAAACTCCTCAAATTTGTTGCCAAAAGCCATCAACTCGACACATTTGATCAGAAGTCCTCTTTTTCCATGTTCTGTTACATCTCACATGCACAAAGGTGTTTATCAAGCTATGCCATTCTCTGATCCAAGGCAATCTACTATGAACTTCAAGCAATTGGATGATCCAGTAATGTATTTTGACCAGGAAGATTTAAATATTCCTTGGAGTGAACTTGTTTTAAAGGAGAAAGTTGGAGCAGGTATTGATAATTTAAACTCTGAATGACAATTCAACTACATGATTTAGTAGTAACATTGGACACTGCTCAATTCTCATTCATGAATTGCAATATATTTTAACGTATAACATATTCAAAGATCTTATATTAAGGATGCTCATAAATGCTTTTCAGGTTCTTTCGGAACTGTCCATCGTGCTGAATTTCGTGGTTGCGTAAGCACATTTTCCTCGTTTGTATGAATTGCTACTTGTTAATTCTCGTGTTGAAATGTTCCCCCTTTTTTTGTATTGCGAAGGAGGGAGCACAGAAATTGATCCTTTTCTTAGTTCATACTTTTCTTGGAGATGCGGAAAATGAAATTAATTAGAAATCCTAAATCTCCCTTCTTAAACTTGGTCAGTGCACATTATAGGTTTTTTTGTTCTTTTTACCTTCAAAAACCCATTTTTATTCACTGCCCCACTAGATTTTTTTGGCACATATGTTTCTTATACTAAATGCACCATCAGGAAGTTGCCGTCAAAATTCTCATGGAGCAAGATTTTCATATAGAACGCTTCAGGGAATTTTTAAGGGAGGTATGAATAGGCTACTATTTTACATTTTTCTGTCCCTATTAGTTTTGTAAATCACCATTTTCTCATTTTCGTTGCTACTTTCTAGGTTGCCATCATGAAATGCTTACGGCACCCTAACATTGTTCGCTTTATGGGTGCTGTTACTCAACCACCAAAGTTGTCCATTGTTACCGAATATTTGTCGAGGTACCCAGGTTTCTCTCATTTCATTCTTATGTCCTTTCCTTACATTCCAGCTTTAATCAAAGGCCCTTCTGATACACAGAAATGTTTCTTTGGAACTAGAGGGAGCATGTTTAGACTTTTGCAGATGCCTGATGCTTGGATGGTTTTAAATGAGAGGGTTCGCTTGAATATGTCATTAGATGTGGTAACGTGTCATTGAAATTTAACTTCTTTGATTTTGATGAATATAGGAATTCTAGCTTGCAATATTTTAAATTACGTAATATTTCCATTACTTGATGAGACATCTTTTTCTGGTGACAGGCAAGGGGAATGAATTATCTCCATCAACTTAAGCCTCCCATTGTTCATCGGGACTTGAAGTCCCCGAATCTTTTGGTAGATAGTAATTATACAGTTAAAGTAAGTGTGTTAACTCATTACATACTACATGCTACATATATGTTTGTTTTTCTTTTTCTCTTTATTTCTTTAATTGGCTCAATGATTAGATTACATAAGCAACCTGTTGGGAAATGAGGTTCTTCAACTTAATTTGACAATCTAGATATTAAAATTATATTTTTACCATTTGTTCCAGAATGCTATTTGGAATAGAACCCTCCCCACAAGGTAATTTTATTGCATGGTTTCTGAAAATCCCTTTCAGAAATCCCTCATCGAAACTTGCCCAGTGTAATTTCTTTTGTCGTATGGTTCTGGAGTAGATGAATTCAGTTGTATGTGAAAATTCCGTTAGAACCAATATGAAATGAGATACACTGCCTTTCTGATATGTGCTTTGCAACTTGGAAGTTGCAACGAGGCAGCATTGCTTGAGAATGATCTGATTTTTTCCCCTGTAATTTTATTTGCATGATCATGCAGGTATGTGATTTTGGTCTTTCACGTTCAAAGGAAAATACATTTCTTTCATCGAAAACAGCTGCCGGAACAGTAGGTTCAGTTCGGATTTATTATTTATGCTTCACATTTTGTTACATTTCCTTACTGATTTGTTATGTTATGTGCCTTTGGAGGATTTACCGACTAAAAGTTAAGAGTCCTTGCTCTTTGTCTAGCCTGAGTGGATGGCACCTGAAGTTCTATGTGATGAGAATTCAAATGAGAAATCCGATGTTTATAGCTTTGGAGTGGTTCTGTGGGAACTTATGACACTGCAACAACCATGGAAGCAGTTAAACCCACCACAGGTCTTTTATCATTCATTTCATCAGAAATAATTTATCCACAAACCAATCACACTTCAGTCCGAGTAACATAGCTGCCCATAGATTTGGAAAAGGAATTGATAAGAAATAGAAGGAATCTTCTTGAAAGAGATTAGATTATAGGTTTCTTCTTAAGAAGAGTTTTAGCTCTTTACTATTTAAAGATGGGAGACTGTTTCTATGCTGTTATCAATCAATCACTAGGGTAAAGTGATTGGTCGATTCAGTCTAGAAAAATCGAAAACCAACTACCCAAGATATTAACCGACTGAAACCAAACCAACTTAAAGTTGGTCAATTTGGGTTAACTATTTAATTATGTTAATTTGGCCAATTTGGTTATATATTTCATGAACACATGACTCTATTAAAACTGGCATAACTGAATTGCCTAAACTGAGTAGCATCGCTTAAGCTGGTTTTAACTGACTTTTGATTGGACCTATCAATCACTGTAAAGCAGCTGGTTATTCTATTTTGGCTTAATACATGACTTAGCCCCCAAACTATATTCATTTAGCTATTGTGGTACCTCTAGTTTACCCAATGAAAAAAGGCTGCCAATGAGAATGTGATACGTGGGACGTTCTTATTGAACGTCGATGACTTTTTAGGTCAAAATAGGACAAAACGATAGTTTAAGTAGACTAAAGGTTTAGGTACTAAAGTGTGAAAACTAGTATAGTTCAGAGGTTAAATATAAAACCTGCATATTTATATACTTACAGACGCAGAAGCACATATACATGTATATAGTCTTAAAAATCTTGGTGATTTGTTTCTGTAGGTTGTGGCTGCTGTAGGTTTTAAAGGTAAAAGGCTTGAGATACCAAGCAATGTAAACCGAGTTGTGGCTTCCTTGATTGAACTCTGTTGGGCACAGTAAGTGTACTTTCTTACTATATCAACTGCCAAAGTTTGTTGCACTAATGTTTAAAAAAAATAGCTGACCCTATTCCCATATGTAATGGGGTAAGGGAGAGGTAGGATAGTAGGCTGCCCCCAACGTCAGGTTGAGAGCAGCTTCCGTGGAAGACCTCCGTTATGAATTGTCCTTAGTGGGACTCGATCCCACGACCACAAGGTTAAGAGCTTTGTGCTCTACCAACTGAGCTAGACGGACAAGACTGTTGCACTAATGTTTACATCTCAATAATCTCAAAACTTGTGAAACCACTCTGCACATTTCTAAAAATTTGAAGCCATCAACTAGATAAAGCTGAGCACTCATTCTCTAAGATAGAAGAGGCGATTAGATGAGTTTAGGTGATACCATTTCAAGTTTCTGATTGTTTCATGCTCAGGCATCTTTAGGCTTCAGGTTAGGGATGGCAAACGGGCGGGTCGGGTGCGGATACCCCCTCCCTCATCTCCATACCTACCTAATATTTTTTAATCCACCACCCGCCCACCACCCATGATGGGTAAAAATTTTCAAATCCACACCCACCCACACGGGTACATTATCAAAGCCATCCCCACACTCACTATCCACTGGAGACGTACTCGCCTAGACCCGCCTGACAGCAAACTTAAGTTATACATAAGCAACAAACATAAAACAAACATATCTATTAAGAAACATAATAAAATAAACCAAGGATTATTTGAGTTAAGTGTTAATATAGATCTTAAAGTACATAAAACGTCATAATAAAAGACATAATTAAAGTATAGAAACATAAATGACAAACACATAATTTTTTGTTCTTTGACACAATATTCTAAAATTTCAGGCAATACTTGTGACATCTGATACTCCAGTATTACAATCATCATTCTCATAAAACACCATAATAAAACACTAGTATTGTAAAATACTCGGTTGAAATTTGAATTTGAAAAATTCAGTTTCAATGGTGTTAAAAATGGAGTTTTGAGAAGCACGAGTGAAACACTTAATTCTATTCAGTGACGTTAAAAATGGAGATTTGAGAAGCAATGATCTGACTCTGTTGGCCTAAAACGTGGGTGCTCAGTCACAAGATATTGGTTTGTAGAACATTAAGAAATTAAGCTTAAAACAAACATTGAGATGAATCTAAAAAATAATTAAAAATCAGTACGAGCAAATAAAAATTAAACTCTTAAAACGAAATGCAGAGGAGCTTAAAACGAAATGACTACGGAAATTACTCTTACAAAAATTAAATTTCAAGTAAAAAGGGAAGAAACGTACCTGAATAAGCTGGAGAGTGGAGACCAGAGGTTTGAAATATCGGCGCAGTAACGAGAGGTTTGAAAGAAAAAAATTTATGCAAAAACTTATCCCTAATATTTGGTTAAATTACAAGTTATATCTTATACAATATTAAGATTTATAAATTAGTCTCTTAAAATTACACCTAAATTCATAATGGTCCAAAATTTAATAGATATTTAGTTGGGCGGGTGGATGCGGGGCGGGTAAGGTCTCAAACCCATTACCCGCCCACTACCCGCGACGGGTACCACTTTCTAAATCCACAACCCCCGCTACCCACTAAAATTATACCCATCCCCGCCCCAATTGGAGCGGGTCAGGTCACTCAAGTTCAGGCTTCTTTAGGGTTTAGGTCACTAAACTTTTAAGAATTGGGCTCTTGTCATCCATATTGCTCTAATTTTTCTTGAAGAATTTGTGTCCAATACTCATGTCGCGCACATTGATATAGATAATCCAAATCTGTGAAAAAGTTTAGTTCGCCTTTAATTACCCAAATAAACCCTTAATCTTTAATTTATAACTAAATAAGCATTTAACATAAATATAAATTTACTTGAAAAGGGCTCTTATTTAAGAAAAGTGAAAAATTCCAGGTTTTTAACCGTAGTTATAATTGGAATAAAGTGTATGAAACTGCAAGTTGGCATTGATTTTCCATCTTTTTTTTCTTTTAATCAGTCTCATATCATTGAATTTTAGTTTAACATTGAATGCTTATCAATAGCATATATCTTCATTTGTAGGATTGAATCTCAACTAAACCTCGGTCTTTCATATTCGAACTTTTCATGCATTGTTTACTCGGGACCCCCTCTCTTCCTTTCATCCTCCTAACATTGTTCTTTCATTAACCTGCAGGGAGCCTTCGAAACGCCCTCCATTCTCCTATGTCATTGAATGTTTGCAGCAAGTGATCGAAAATACTGCACCTCAAGAACTTCATTGACAAATTCCATGATTGCAGAAACCTGGGGGCTGGGTGCATGTAAGCATATGCTCTCTGTCTATTTATTCTTCACTGTTATTTGGACACAAATATGTTTGATTTTCCCCTTTTTTTTCAAGATTCCTATGTGTGGAGAATCTTTGAAGGATCTTATGATTCATATCTTCGCACCTATGTCCTGATATGCATCATACATGGTTATGTTCAAAAAAAAATTCAATGTTTTCATGTATTAAGAGGGTCTTTTGAAGATTATATTCCCTTACCATATCCGGATATCATCAGACAGGATACTAATAGAAAAATCAAGTCAGGATAACAGAGAGGACAAGTGCCTGACCTGAATCTACCAGTATCTACTCCCCATTCTTTAGGTTTTGTCTTTAGTTAACGATGTCATCCTAACTCTTCGTTTTATCTCAAATATCTTGCAAATACAAGGATACGACTCACCAAATGTATGAAAAAACTTTTTAAAAAATTGTACTCTTTTTGGCACAATACCCGTATCCGACAGTCCCTAGGGTCTAGGTATGGTTAATCAATAATATCCTCCTAATTATCAAATACTCATCTAGTTGGGTAGATATTTTCCTAAACAGATACTATATAATCTCTGATAGGATTAGTTCATTAACTATATGGCGATTAACCCTTCTTTTTTTTTCCTTTCCTGGGAAGTGCATGACAAAAGCGAAAAGAGAGGTGCAAGCATATAAACAACTACTCGTTAGAGCTAACAAGTTTATTAGAAACCGAAAGAGGATCGTACAAGCTTAGTTTCATTATGTCAAGAAGCAGAACCATGCATTTCAATGTATCTTGGAACTCTATATCATGACAGTTAAACCTCTGGGTTTTTTACTTGTCTATGATTAAAACTGAAACAAGAATTTGAAACTGTTCTTTGGACTCGGAAGCGACTGCAGGATATAGGTATGATTCTGACAGGTTTCTTTTAAAAAAAAATCATGTATTTGGAAGATCATAACCTTATATTCATGTATCGGGTTCGGAAAAAAATGAGAAATATGAGCAACACGTGAACAACTTCTTATATTGTTTGGCAGGATCTTCATTAACCGGTTGAGGTACGTTAACGCCCAATTCCATTTGGGATGATTAAGCTTTGCAGTCTTTCATATATCTCAAGCATATTACAAAATCCTGATTATCTACATTGCCGAAGTCTTGTGAATAACACTTTAAATTAAGCAAATTTCGAGAAGAATCGGATGTTTCATGAACTCGACTATGAATGTTAGATATAAATATCAAGTATTTAATATGGATATAATAAAAAAATTAAAGCCTTTCTTTATATTTAAAGAATCTTTAGAAGTGATATGTTCATGTGTAGAACATAAGGGTTACTTCAAAAAAGTAGTTCGAATCTTATCCATTAAAAAATGTAATGCTAACACATTATCTTATTTCAAAATGTGAGATCTATTTTATTTTTAAAATATGAACTTTTTCTTTGAATTTTTCAACCTTGAGCAAGAAGTGAACAATATTCATGTTATCGTTATTATATGGTCATATTTTAAAAATAAATTCTCCCAGCAAACAGAGGTTCTCACAGTAAGTTTATCTAAAGCTAGACATGGACAATTCAGTTACCTACAGTCTTAAAATCAGACTTTGAACTTCTTTTTAATGGTATGAAGTATTTATATGATAGCATATGTTCAGATTTTTTTCTCAGTTATTGATAACATACGTTTTGCGTATATAATTGTTTAAACTTAAAATCTTTAGGGAGAATAAAATTTCTTTTTATCATAAAAATTGATAAATTTTATTACAAGATCATAATAGATAAGTCTTGTTTATATTTATTTGGATACAAATTTGAACATATTTTAATTATTAATTTATATATTATAACAATTGGTTTTGATCATAATCATATAAATATCTTTGTTATAATTATGTTTGTACAATATATTAAGAGTTAATTGCACCATACGTCCTCAAATTATTACTTTCATTTTAAATTAATCCTTAAACTTTTGAATATTTTAATTTTGTCCCCAAACTATGATACTCATTTTAAATTAGTCTTTAAACTTTTAAACATTATAATTTCATCCTTAGACTATGATCCTCTTTCTACGTTGGGCCCAAACTTTTGAATATTCCAAATGCATCCTGAAATTCAACAAAATATGTAATTAGGTTCAACCATAATTTAACCTAATTTTTTTTTCGAACATATAATAATATAACTTCGCCTAACGATTTTATTAACAAGGGATGTGATTAGCATATACATAGAGTTTGGGATGAAATTATAATATTCAAAAAGTTTGGGGACCAATTTAGAATAAAGGTCACAGTTTGGGGATGAAATTGAAATATTCAAAAGTTTAAGGATTAATTTAAAATGATAGTCATAGTATAGGGATGAAATTAGAACATTTAAAAGTTTAAGGACTAATTTAAAATAAGGTCATACTTTGAGGACATATGATGTAATGACCTCATATATTAATTGATTCCTGCTAGGTGCGTTTGGTTTATAGAATGTAGCATTACCTCCGATAATAGGATTACCGAAATATAACATTACCTAACACATTACTGGGAATGTTATATTGTTGTGTTTGGTTCGTTTAGTTAGAAAGTAAGATTATAGGATTTGATTAAAGGAATAAAATATTATTGGAATGTATATTTTGTCAAATTGTCCTTATTATATATTTGTTTTTTTAACAAGTTGAATTCTAAATATTCAAATGAAAATATTTGTATAAAAATCATAGAAAATATATAATTTTACATTTTTAATTTATATATTTTCTTTAAAAAATTTAAATTCATAATATATATATATATATATATTACAAAATTTAAAAGATAAATAGGTTTAATGAAATGGTTTTAATTTTATTTTAACCACTGAACTTCATATAAAATTCTAATTATGGATCTTTTTTTGTAAATCTAAAATAGTGTAAGGATAAATTTACAATTTAATATTCGTATATTTTTTTATTCAACGACAAAAGAATGATATTTTTTTTAAAAAATGTTTTAAGAGCATTTTATTCCAAAATGCCGAGAAATAAAAAATACCTAAGGAATTAGAGGAATCACATTCCTGTAATAAGCCTCTAAAATGTCACTGTTGGAAATGACTTATTATTGAGGTTGTGAATCTTTACAATTCAAACGTGAAAATCACATTCCAAAAAAAAATTCCTCCGATAATCTCATAATCTCTCATCCAAACGCACCATAGTTACACAAATACACTTGTAATTATAATATTTCTTGAAAAATATATAACTGCATCCCATAAAAAGTTGCTAAATTTGTTGACATGATTTCGAAACGTCCCTTCCTTTGTACAAGGAAAGGCGGCATTCATTCCCTTCCATTCATTCAGTGTAACAAAACCATTGTGACCCTTTATCATGCGACCCCACCTGTCATTTTCTGAAACGTGTTCTTTTATATCTTCATTTTACTAACATCTTTATTGTAACCACAAAACCAACTTTAATTTCATTCATTCATCAAAGCTTTAGAACAGTTAAAGGAACATAATTATATTACTTAGTAATTTTACTTATTTTTTTTAAATATTCATGATTTAAATTTATTGGTATAATAGTTTATATTATTTTAAATAGTTAAAGGGAAAAAAATCTGAATATAAGTTTTTCAAAGATAATCTCCCAAAATTTTTGAGTTAAAGGGTTCAAAACAAGAGGAATATTAAGAAAATATGTTTAAGTAATTAATAAAGTTATTTCCAATTATTAAAGATTTTGTTAAAACCATTATTTGTTGAAATTTAAAAAAAAAAAAATTGATATTGGAATCTTTCTCGATTATTGATGATTTCATTGGAGCAGTTATTAATAATTGTAGTGAAAAGTATTTAGTAAAAATCAAACTAAGAGGAGAAAATGAAGTATTCAATACATTAGTAAGAATGTCTAAAGAAGTATGTGTGTTTACGTGTTACAGAAAAATGTTGATACAAATTAAATTAATATAACACATTAAATTAATAGATAATATATTATTTAACATTTTTAAGTATAAACTAAATTATATTTTTATTTTTAAAAATAATAAAAAACAAATATATAAAATTTCATTATTCACTTTTAAAATTATAAAATTACTTTTAAAAAATATAATTTAATAAAAAATTATTTTATATATATATAAATGCAAAGTTTACTAAAATCTCCAATATTTTGTTGTCGTATTAATTAGATTTCATATTGTTTTGTCAATAAAGGCCGAGAGTGAAAAGGCTATTGTCCAAAACAGAACAGAAATTACACAAGATAAGGGATAAGAAGAGAAAAAAAAACCCAAGGTCCGACCAAGAAATTTAAGAAACTTGATGGTTCCCTAAATATAAATGACAATCCAGCTCAGTTGGTAGAGCACAAGGTTCTTAATATTGGGGTCATGGGATCGAATCTCATGGAGGACATTTCATAATTCAGAGGTTTTCTACGAAAGTTGTTCTCAACTTGATGTTGGGACAACCTACTATCTTACCTCCCTGTACCATCCCCTCCGGTAACTTTGGGGTATGACAGTGAGTTGCAGAAGGCAGCATTGCTTTATGAAAACTTCGTTGAGCACAAGGTTTTTAATCTTGGGGTCGTGGAATCGAGTCCCATGGAGGACATTTCATAATTCAGAGGTCTCCTACGGAAGTTGCTCTCAACTTGGTGTTGGGACAACCTACTATCCTACCTTTCCGTACCATCCCCTCCGGTAACTTCGGGGTATGACAGTGAGTTGCGGAAGGCTGCATTGCTTTATGAAAACTTCGTGAAGGACATTTCATAATTCAGAGGTTTTCTACGAAAGTTGTTCTCAACTTGATGTTGGGACAACCTACTATCTTACCTCCCTGTACCATCCCCTCCGGTAACTTTGGGGTATGACAGTGAGTTGCGGAAGGCAGCATTGCTTTATGAAAACTTCGTTGAGCACAAGGTTTTTAATCTTGGGGTCGTGGAATCGAGTCCCATGGAGGACATTTCATAATTCAGAGGTCTCCTACGGAAGTTGCTCTCAACTTGGTGTTGGGACAGCCTACTATCCTACCTCTCCGTACCATCCCCTCTGGTAACTTCGGGGTATGACAGTGAGTTGCGGAAGGCTGCATTGCTTTATGAAAACTTCGTTGAGCATTGGGTGCGGGTTGATTCAATTAAAAAATGATCATACAAATTTATGACATTTTTTATTTTAATCGAAAATGTCATTCTATCCGACTTAAAAATTTACGCTCTTAATAATATTTACGATTACAATCAATTTTTTAACAAATTATATTTTAAAATCTGGTTGTTTTTTTTTTTTGGACCAAAGCATCAAGGACAAGTGGCAGCTAAAGTTGATAGGGATGGTACTTGATGCTCATTTTCTTCGGGATGGGTTGCGGTGTACAATCCCATTTTCATTGGAGTGGCAATCTTTTCTTATCCTCTAAGGAGAAGAGCCATTCCATTTCTATACCGTATCGGAGAAGAGCAGCAAGCCGATTGGGTGCTAAAATTTTACTCAACTCCTAAATATTTTACTACATTTTGTTTTTTTATATATATCAATGAATTTTATCAACTTTTCGAATTTCAAAAATTTATAAATAAATTATATTTTTTAATAATATAAAATGATTATTAGGTAATTTTTGTGCATAATATTTCTTACACATCGATAATACATCCTACAAATATAATTGTTTAAATTCGAGATCTCTAGAGAGAATAATTGAGATCATTTGATGAATTAAAAAATAATATAATTTTATGTACATAGAACTTAGAAATACAATATTCTCCTAGTACATCAGGACCAAAAATAACAAACCTAAATGCAATAATGAAATTTGTCATTAGGTCCTAATTTAACATTAGGTTGAAGTATACCCTGTAATGACAAAAGACTTGAAAAGAAAAGAAACTAACAAAATTTTATCTATGCCATACGTGTCGCACATATCTATAATTTATTTATTTATTTATAATCTGTATAAAATTTACGAGTTTTTTTTTTAAAATCAATGAAAATATCTTTTATAATTTATTATATTACCAATTTGACATAGAAATTATTTTAATATATTCCCAACTAATATATAATTATATAAGCAATTTTATAAAATTATTGTAATCACCTCAACTATTTTAAAAATGTTATCTTAAATTGATGATCACTTAATTAATATTATAATTTTATATTAATTAAGATTAATATTTTTAACATTATAAAACGATGCATCAGTAGCATCAAATAGTTTAATATTTTCATGTCGAAAATGAATTTGTATTATATTTAACAAGTATTATTACTCTCATCATAAAAAAAAGTTCGATTTTTATTATTTAATCTTTGATGCTTTTATAATTATTTTATATTTGATAATATTTTGTGAGATTTTGAATATTGTTACCTCAATTCAAAATAAATATATTTTTATACTACAAAATAAATAAATAAAACTAAAATAGATAAAATCAAATAAATGATGGAATTATGCTCTATATTCATTTTAGATTATATTGTACTATAATTTAAAAATATTGTTTTATTATTATATTACAACTAAACTATTCAACTAATAATTATTAAATGTCAACCTCAAATTATAATTCTATTACAACTTAAACTATTCAACTAATAATTATTAAATGTCAATTAATATTCACCTCAAATTATAACTGAAACTATTCAACTTTACAGATAAGCAATATCCTATTGTTTTAAATGATTTCTTATCTAAAACATAATAAACCAAATTTTATTATTATATAAAAATTTAAATTTTCAGAAAATAAAATCAGATAAATATTAAAGTATATTTTATATTAAATTTGAATCAAAGGAAGAAATAGACGACACGACACCAAATAAATCAGTATAATGAAATGAATGTGAAGTAGTTTAATCTAATAACCATAGATAGTGTTGGTATACAAATTGCAGACAAAAGGTGGGGCAGGGGAGTATATGCAGCGTAAAATTGAAAAACAGCCAATCCTTGTTTGTCGTTTCCCAAAATTGTAGCCCTGCAAATCGATGCACGTAACTTGTTACATCAACGTATATGAGTTTTAGTCTGAACCGGACAAATCTATTTCAAATCATTTTAGCCAGGAGACCTGTTCCTATTTTGATTCCTCATCTTTTTTTTCTTTTTCTTTCGTTGTTTTCTCGTTTCTGCCTGGTAGTTTCGCGGAAACCAACTTTACTTCTTCTAATTATTGTCCATATAAACACCGAATTTATATATATAAATCATATTCTATATAGAGTCGTCTTCATTGGTTTGACGTGTGCAATGATGTCTGTCTGTTAGGCTATCTGGTTTTAAGATTGCCCTTATAAAACAGAAACCCAATTTTTTTCCATCTTGAATCTGTTTTTGAGACCTATTGTTTGAATATTTCCAGGTAATTTTTTTTTGTTTGATGTGTTTCTTCTGCTGTTTTTTTCTTTTGTTCTCCACTCACGAGAACATGGCAATGGATATTGTCTTACACAAAAACATATTCGTTAAAGTGATGTTATTCTGCAACTGTTGAATCTGATTTGAATTCTTGTCGTGTTACTGTTATTGCATGTTATTCTAGACTGATGACAATCCCAGATTGTCATTTTCATGAATTTGCTTCTGTTTTAAAATTCAAGTTGATCTCTTCTCCTTTTGTGAATTTGTTTTGAGTCAGAATTTTAGAATAATTCTGTGAAATAATTTTAGATTGATTGGAGAGCACGTGGATTTTAGAATATTGGATTTTGTTTTTATTCTGTCATATTCACGTATATTATTCCTTCATTGATAAAATTGAAGGGCTTGGATACTTGGATTTCAAAGAGGAAGAAAGAGTTTATCGAGCTGTTTGTTCAGCTCAAAGAGCAAGTATGGCGGAAGATTATAGTGTGCCGTTGTTGAAGAAGAAGTATTACAAGGACTGCCCTGGATGTAAGGTTGATCAAATGAAGGAATCGCAGCAAGGCGTCCCATTTCGGGAACTATTTTCCGTATGGATCGTTGTGTTGTGCACTTGTAAGGATTTTTCTTAGCTAACCTTTTTGATTTTATGAGCATCAACAACCAGATTCGAGTGCGATTGTCGAATATAGATACGCCCTTTTTCTTTGATTTCCTTCATCCGTATTGGTCCTAATTTCCTACTGTCAAATGTGTCCAGCTCTGCCCATATCATCTCTCTTCCCATTCTTATACTTCATGGTGAGTTGACACAAATTCTTCTTTATGACTTGTTAGGTTTTTGTAAGCATCGTGTTCCTTATTCATGTAGTCTTCCTTTAATTGTCGTGTTTTCAGATTAGGGACTTTCACATTGCAAAAAGAGAGGAAGATATTGGCTCATATGCTGGTTATGTGGGTGAGCTTATGTTCATTTCTCTTCATTGCTGCATTTCTTTTCAATCAAAAAAATGATCCTAACACACTACTCATCTTTGAAAGGCTCTGCATTCATGCTAGGAAGAGCTTTAACATCTGTACTATGGGGAATATTTGCGGATCGTTATGGTCGAAAGCCTGTTATAATCATGGGAACTATTTCAGTGTTAGTGAGAATTCCATCAAAGTTCATATTTCAAGTTGATGTTTCTAAAGTAATTGTGAAAAATTCTCAAACTTCTCATTGCCATTGTATATCAGGGTTATTTTCAACGCTCTATTTGGCCTTAGTGTAAACTTTGTGATGGCTGTAATTACAAGATTTCTTTTAGGAAGTATGAATGGCTTACTTGGACCAATAAAGGTTTGTTTCGAACTCAGCATGAAATGGTTTGAATCCAAATTCTGTTTTAGCTCGTTTCTGAACAACCATTTGATTACTTTGTTCACAAAATCCAGGCATATGCAGTCGAAATTTTTCGAACAGAATACCAAGCCTTAGCCCTGTCAAGTGTAAGCCATTAGCAAACTTTATATGCTTTGGCTGCGTGGATTTTTACTTCAACATCAATTTAATAAGTATCACAAAATTTCAGGTTAGCACAGCTTGGGGTATAGGATTGATCATTGGCCCTGCTCTGGGAGGCTATCTAGCTCAGGTACTTCCATTTAAGGCTTCCTATACAGTGTTATTCTTCTGACTTAGGTTTGTGTGTCAGATACGGATATATGTATGACATAGTTATATTCAACTCTAAAGTATTCATTTGAGGTTTTCTAAATTTTATATTCAGCCAGCTGAGAAGTATCCGAATATCTTTTCCAAAGGATCACTGTTTGGAAGGTAAGTGAATATATTCTGCTTATGAATCGCTGTTAGATTTAAGAACGTTTCATTTTTTTGTATTAGCATTTTCTCTGTAAGTGTTCAAATATGATGATCTTCAATTTTTGTAGGTTTCCATATTTCTTACCATGCCTCATCATATCACTCTTTGCCTTGGCGGTAACCATCGCTACTTTCTGGCTTCCGGTACGTATTCTAAGTGCCCCGGCACATATCTAGACATGAGTATGAGGATATTATCTTGCAGGCATGGAAATCGTGAAAAAATGAACATATTGTTTTTATTGCAGGAAACGCTTCACAGACATGAGGAGAAGGATAGATCATCGGATGACTCATATGATGCTTTGGAAGCTGCAACTCATGATTTCAACACAAAAGAAATAACAGAGAAGGAAGAGGGAAAAGAATCCACTAGCCTCTTACGGAATTGGCCTCTAATGTCATCTATCATTGTTTACTGTGTTTTCTCCCTTCATGATATGGCCTACTCAGAGGTACTAATCATGTTTAACTTAGCAAGTTATATGTTGCAATCAATCTAATCGGAACATGTTGCGATTCATCTTCGTGCTTCAGATATTTTCGTTATGGGCTGTTAGTCCTAGAAGGTTGGGAGGCTTGAGTTATTCAACCCAGGATGTCGGACAAGTTCTTGCAATCACTGGTATTAATATCTGCATAAAACCATCCCTTGATCAACTCAATAGAATGGTATGAATACGATTAGTAAATATGGATTGGATTGATAAACTCTTCAACATATCCAGGTTTCAGCCTTCTGGTCTTTCAATTTTCGACATATCCATTCGTGGAGAGGATGCTAGGACCTGTATTAGTGGCTCGTATCGCGAGTGTAAGTATCTGAAACCCTGTAACTTCTGCCTTACTTCTGTTTTATCTATCTGTTGGTTTATAATTTTCCCTAATGGTTACATAATTTCCTACTTGCAGCTCTTAAGCATACCTCTGTTGCAGAGCTATTCTTGCATGGTCTTGTTGTCCGGGTTCGCTCTTGGCTTGGCAATAAACTGTGCATCCATCTTGAAGAGCCTTTTTTCAGTAAGTGAGCCCTATAGTTAGGTATCTGTTATGAACTTGTATGCCGTTTGATAACAAGTTTTTCCGACATGACTAGGTATCGATCATAACCGGATTATTCATTCTGCAAAATAATGCCGTGGTAAGTCTTCGCTACAGAGAATTCGTTCTTCTATAGTATTAGAACGCACCTCGTCTTAATACGATTTAAAAATGAAAAAAAAAATACAGGAACAACACCAAAGAGGAGCTGCCAATGGCATAGCCATGACTGCAATGTCTCTTTTCAAAGCAATCGGTCCTGCAGGTGGTGGCGCATTGTAAGTGTCTAGATTTTCTTCCGTATTTGTCTGCTTCCAGCCAGTACTCGTCATTTCTCGATCTTGAACCTTTCTGAGTTCGATTTCTATAATAATTGTTTTCGTACATTTTCTCCACAGGTTTTCTTGGGCAGAAAAACGCCAGGATGTTTCGTTTCTTCCAGGTATGCTAATCAACGACGTTTCGTGTCGAAATATTTACGGAAATGTTTGGTTATAATAGAATCGAAGCAAGTTTGATGAATGATTTTAGCATAGTAATCCTAGTATTCGATTACAGGTATTCAGATGGTATTTTTCATGTTGAATGTGGTTCAAGCAACCGGAATGTTGATGACATTCGAACCATTCCTGGCTCAACCTCGGCGGTAAAAAGAAAAGTGATCTCTAACGTCGGGATAATGATGTTCTATCAAAAAGAAAATGCTTGCAAGGCTTCAAACTTGGACTACAAAAGATCAAGCTTAATGCATTCTTCGTTCAAGCTATGTTATTCGATTTCTTCATTCTTTTTCTTATTTTTGTCGGACATTTATGTCCAACATACATTTAAACATAGATATAAAGGTAATAGTAGAAGCAAAAGAAGAAGAAAAAAAAAGAGTATACCTATGTTGAACAAACCCATTCGTGTCTACTACTAGTATTTAAACCGAATAACATAGCTTACATATATATTGTTGTCTGATATTTACTATTACTCGTACGATTTTAGCTATAAGATTTAGAATGAACCAAGTAACCAAGTTACGCATACTAATTTGAAGGAAAAAAATTATGTATCTAATTGGATTAATAAAACTTAATATAATGTACCAAATTGAAGTTTAAACCAAATCCAGATGCTACAATACAAATTTAACACTAAAAATTAAGAAAGGTAGAATCAATCTTTTGTTCAGCCACATCTCCAACGTGAATCGATGGAATTACTCATCTAAATTTGAAAATGATAAAGAGTTTGGACAAAAATAATGAACTTAAAGTTGGGCAAAAAGGGGAACCTAACTTCGAGTTTAACATTCAAAACTCGAATAATCTAACTTAATTCACAAATCTATCATCCAATGTCTAACTTCGAATGGCCATGAATAATCTAACCTAATCCACAAATCTACCTTCCTAAATCTCAATTTGGTATACAGAACTCATTGGTGATTTTGGTTCACTCAGTAGAGTCCACTGTGCTGTGTAGTCAAGTTGATTGCTTAGAATGTAAAAAATTTACAGAACAAGTTTTGTAAGGTTTAAAATTTTCTCTGTTTTCTAAATACGTGATGTATTGGTAAAGGATATAATTTCTTTTATAACATAAGAAGAAACACGTCATTAGGGCCCAGCATGAGGGGCGTCAAATCCATGTAGACCCGTGCAACAAGAAGCCAATGAGGAGGCGTCCGTACAAAAGAGAGTGAGATTAAAGATGACGATGTACAGCTGTGATTGTAGGTCTCATTTCACCTTACCATATTTCCCCTTTAGGCAAAGACAAACCCCACTTCCCCTCCTTTAGGCAAAGAGATTGAGATGAAAGAGGATGATCTACCGGCTCTTGTTCCGGCTTGTTGGCTTTGGTGTGCTTGGTGAAGAGCGCACGAGTCAGCCGTCCCAGGTTCCAGAGAAGAAGAGATCAAAGAACTAATGTAAATATTTTTTTTTTAAATTAATTACAAAATATTATGTATTTCATTATTTAAAATATAAAAATGAGTGGAAACTGATCCGATTGTGAAAATGATAATGGAAGACAACCAAACCTAAAAGCAAAATGAATGGTTAGAAAAGAACAAGGCATCCAACGTCTTTCAAGTGTCGACCAGAATTTGAAAGCATTGCTTGGAGCCAAGGTGGTAGGGCCGCCCCAAGTGCCAAAGCTCTTGGATCCCACATCAATTTAGTGTGGATAAAACTCCATCAGACATCAATTTCAAATCGTACCAGAGATTTTTGGCTAAACTCACGATATAATGCTTTGGAAATAAATAATTCACGAAATAACGTTCTCCCAAGATTAATTGATGAAGTAGGGTGAATTGCACAGTTGGCCGTAGGTCGCCATGCCTTCCGAGCTACCTACGACGTGGCTCGTGACGAGGATCGTGTCGTGCATGGGACATGCACAACCCAACCATAGGTCGCTGGGATTCCCTGGCGACCTACCCACGTTGCATGCATGCACGGCCATGCAGAGACTCCAACCTCGCCCAGACCCATGCCACGTTGCCCTGCAGAGACTCCAACCTCGCCCAGGGCCATATCTAAACCACCAACATTGTTCAGTCCAAGCATGGACTGCATGGTGACCTTTGGCGAGCTGGGCGTGCATGGAGGTCGTTGGGCGTGCATTGCATGGTGACCTTTGGCGAGCTGGGCGTGCATGGAGGTCGTTGGGGCGTGCATGGAGGTCGTTGGGCGTGCATTGCATGGTGACCTTTGGCGAGCTGGGCGTGCATGGCGACCTGGTAGGTCGCTGGGCATGTATGGCGACCTACCCCCGGGACTGTAGAGGGCACCACCTGAGCAATTAATCTGGCGAGGGCACTATCTCGTGAAAAAAAAAATCAACGCATTATCTCGTTGATTTTGCCGAGAATTTTATATATAATTTTTATTATAAATTCTAATACAATACTAAATTTATTGAATATATGTTTAAGGAAAAGAATGACCGACTTAAGTGGCAAAACTCTCGAGATAATATTCTCGAATTTTTTATTGTACGATATAATGTACTCAAAAGATTAATTGCTCAAATAGGGCGAATTGCACAATGTTGGCCGTAGGTCATCATGCCTTCCGGGCGACCTACGGCGTGCAGCTTCCCAACGAGCAAATTAACGTCGAATTAACGTGTGCATGGGACATGCACAACCCAACCCATAGGCCGCCATGCACGCCAGGCGACCAAGCTTTTAACCCTCTGTGTGCCCTGCATGCCATAGCTGGGAGATTCCTGCCCGGCGACCAAGCTTTAACCCTTTGCTCCCTCATGCATGCGTTGCATCCATAGCTGGGAGATTCCTGCATCCATAGCTGAATTATTGCATCGTTAATTTAGCTGCTAAATGCAGCAAATATTGTTGTTGAATTACAGCCTTTCAACGCTCAATAGTTACACGATTCAACGCTTATTTGCTTTATATAAAGGATATGGGGTTTAGGATAGAAGCAGAAGCAGAAGCAAAACCAGAAGCACATATAGAAACTTTGCAGAGAGAAAGAAAAAGAAGAAGAAGAAGAAGAAGAAAAGAAGATAAATGCTCAAATATCGTTCGTGAGGTAATTGTTTATTGTTTAATTTAGTTTATTACATAAAATTATTAGTTTGTTAGTTTAGGGTTTAGGGTAAAACTAAAATTTAGTTAATTAGTTTGTTAGTATAAATTATTAGTTTGTTAGTTTAAGTTATATTATATTAGTTTGTTAGTTTAAGTTATATAATATATTATATAAAAAATTAGTTAATTAATTTCTTAATTTAGGGTTTAGGTTATTTGTTGAAGTTGAAGTTATATTATAAAAAAAATTAGTGCTTAATTAGTTTGTAAGGTTGTTTTTTTAACTAAGTTATATTATAATAAAGAAATAGTTTATTAGTTTAAGTTATATTATAATATATTAGATTATATAAAATTAATTTGTTTAATTTATTGTCGTTTAAAGAAATATTTTATTTACACATAAAGGGCATTATTCCACAACATTTGCCCACGTACAGATTGATTCGAAGAAAGAAACAAGAAAGGAAAGGAAGAAGGCATAAATACGCGTGTAATTTATTATTTTTTGTTGTCCATTTTTTGTTGTTGTGTATGTGTAAATTAGTTAGTTAGTTAGTTAGTTAGTAAGTTTATATTAGATTATATAAACTAATTTGCACGAGATAATTTTTGTTTTAAAAAATATTGTGCTTAAAAATATTTAGTATTGTTTTAAAAAAATATTTTGTTTAATTTATATTATATGTGTAAATTAGTAAGGAGTAAAAATTAATTGAATGAAATAATCCGACCAATGCATTATCTCGTGAAATAATTATTTCGAGAACATTATATCGACAATTTTGCCAAACAAATTTGTTTGATATTTTTAAAAATAAAAAATATTATCAAACTAATCATTATTATTAATAATCATTACTAAATGATTAGTATCAAATTTAAATCATTAAAAATTTATAATAAATAATTATTAGTAATCATTACTAAATCATATTATTATTAAATCATTAAATATCAAATCATTAAATTAATAATAATTATTAAATCATTATTAATAATATTAGTAATCAATCAATCAAGTTAAATAACAAATTTTATTTTATCGTTAATATAATAATATATTATATTATATTAATTATTTAATGATTTATGAAATTATCTTATCTAATTTTTTAATCTAAATTTATTTATTTTTTTATTTGTAGAGAAAATGAGCAACGTTTTTTTCACGATTGTCCATTATAATTGACAGATTATGGAAAATGAGGTCGGAGTAGTTTTTCAATCTGAAAAACCAATAAATATGATGTTAAAAAAAGACATCACATTTATAGAAATGAAGTATAAGATAGAAAGAAAACTTTGAGTTGCAGTTGATGGCTTGAGGTATATGTTTATGATATACCCCAACCCAGTCAGATATGCTACAGTTCCACTTGAAGAAGATGATGATATTAGAACCATGGTTGGATTACATGAGTCAACCATTATAGCAGTTATTGAGTTATTTGTTGATGTGCGTAACATATGTGATGTTCCTGGGTCATCAAGAGGTGTGGCTCAAAATCCATCTGAAATGGCTTTATATAGTCAGTTTGAGGAGCCGACATACAAGTTTCCGAACAGTTTTATGGCACTATTGGAAAGTGTAAATGAAGTCGGATGGACATCTGCAGCAGCAGAGTATGAGATGAGAAACATACCGAAATTGGCTGTTGATATTGATGCTAAAAATCGATGGGGAGAAATTCATGATGATTCAAGTGAAGATAAAGAAACCGAAGAACTCGTTTTGGGCGACGATGAAAATATTTTCGGTGGAGGTGCAATTGATGAAGTTCCGGCACCGTATGAAGCTACTCCTCACATGTACGAGATAGACTATGATGCGACGAGGGCACCATAATTCCCAGACATGCCACATTTACCTCCGCACCAAATGACTAAATCATTCGATAATTTTGGTGAATTTTCAGTTGGGATGCAATTCAGTGAAAAAATGAAGCTACGCTGGCGATTAAAGAGTACTGCATCGAATGTCATGTTGATGTCCATGTTGCAGAGTCCAACCAGAAAACCCTATACGCGAGGTGTGTAAAATATGGCCCAGAGTGCAAGTGGAAGATCAGAGTGTCGAAAAATCAAAGGCATGATGTTTGGGTCATCACGAGGTACAATAGTTCGCACACATGTTTGCGAAACTCTATC